TAAATTACTGTACTTCATTTCAAGAAGGATTATATTTACTGGTGTTTTAAACTGATTTCATCCCAGCTGTGTCTCATGTACATATAGTAGCTGATTTTTTTTATTTGTAAGTGTGAGATTGTAATCATTTTAAATTTTGTAAATTTGTCATATTTTGTGAGGGACCAAAACACTCTCGTATTTTAACCCTATCACGCTTGCTGTATTCCATTATATGTTATCTTCTTCTCCCATTCCATCTCATAAAGTTGGGAGTTGAGAATATAATTATGATGGTTCAGATAGGAAGGCTAGTTGATTAAGTTTAGTCATGACCTTGAAGGGTAGTATTCCCATGGAGAAGTCAGCAAATTTGATTCTGGTTTCAGCTTTATGCATGCAGAAACTTAATCTTGTTTATTAGATCCAGGAAGACTAATTATCCAAGCTCACAGTATACTGAAATTTAATCCAATCTATTTACTTAGAACAAGAGTTATAATGCATCGTAGTATGGGATAGCTCATTCCTGTATCTTTTTCTCCTCATAAGGGACAGAATATGAAAAGCTTACTTATAATCAGAGCATTTATGTTGAGCATCGATATAGAATGGGAATATATAACAACACTAAGATTTGAGAGAAACAGTTGGCCTATGAAAATCAGTTAAGAAAATGAACACATCATACGTTTGTTATTTTTTTTTTTTCATACGTTTGTTATTATCTAAGCACCAGTCTTCTTTCATATTGTCTTTGGTGGTAGGTTTTGAAATGATAGCAGATAAGAAAATGACTTTTAAAGTGGCAGCATTATGAATTTATCTCTAGAATTAATTTCATTCCTTGATCACATCAGGAACCTCTATATGTTTGCTCTTTAGTCTATGATTTTCTAAATTAGCTAAACTTGTTCATTTTATTAAAAAAGAACTTGATCAGAATATTGATTTGTGACTTCTTCCTTGATGTTTCAGGATACATTTGGATTCTCTTGAAATATTTTCTTTAAATAGACTTGCATCGATCCGTACAGTTGTTTCTGTGTCTGTCAGCCTCTTTGTTGATCGTGGCATGGTGGCAGCTGATTTGTGCCCAGATACACATGCAGAGAACTGCTCACTGGAAACTGCCCCCTCTCCGCTCGCTCTTCCCGTCTCTCCTAGGCAGGGCATTCAGGGAGCTTGCGGGAGTCCCTGGGATGCCACCTTTCCGAGCTGAAATTTTGCCCTCTTTCTCTTCCTTTAGTTATCTCTGTGTGGCATATTGGTGGCACAGCGTCTCTCAAGTTGCTTCTAGACTTCAAAGTTGCTTGATTTGCCTGGAGTAGTGAGAATATGCGGTAGAGGTAGAAGTAGTATTTGTCACAAAAGCACTGTCCTTTTGGAAAGAACTGAAATGATCAAAGATGTTTGTCAAAAAAAAAATTGTCAAAATCATTGTGACAGAATAGGAGTGAAGTAAATTCACTGAGTTAAATTATGACAATTTTCCTGTGAGACTTTGTCATTCTGTAGCTATACGGATAAGTGTGCTGCTATTTTCAGTGTTTTCTCTATCTGCATGGGAGTTTGTTTCTCTTTAGTACATTTTTCCAAGTACTAAAATACATCACTTTTTTTTTTAACTGCAGCTCTGGAAGATTGATATTGCTGGCAGGAGGGAGCCTGGACATCAGCGATGTCACTGAGGATGATGCTGGGATTTATTTTTGTATCGCTGATAATGGAAATGAGACCATCGAAGCTCAGGCAGAGCTTTCAGTACAAGGTATGTAAAGGGTTATCGTCTAAATAAAAAGTACTGTGTTCCTCCTGCGTTTGCTCATGGTTTTACGTGAATACAGGGAAGGCAGTCTAGCTTAGTATGGAAAGCCCCGAGCTTGAGACCAGGTTCAAATTCTGGCTCCTATCCCCCCTAAATCTATAGGGAACTTACTTCACTTTTCTAAAGCCTCATTTTTCTCATCTGTAAAATGAAGATCCTGAGACTTCTTACCATATAGGGTTGTTTGAAGACTAAAAGCACTAATGCTTGCCAAGGTTCCAAGAATAGTAACAAGAATATGGTCAGAACTCAGGTGAGTTGCTCCTGTTTTTATTGGGGGTGGTCGTGTAAGTAGTAGGATGGAAAAGGGTAGATTCCGGGACATCTCAAAGGTCCAGTTCTGCTTTCTTGTCTCAGTGCTTCACTTCCTCTCGGCTTCCAGATGGGGAGACTCGACCGAGGAAGATTCCAAATCCCCGTTGCTTTTCTTCCCAAATAATTTAAAGCTGAACACCTGAGCAGAGGCGGTGTCTGTGAAATTCCCAGTAACAGTGATGCTGTGGTTGCTGCAGTGGTGCTTTGCTCTCACGCTCCCTCACATTAGTCTTCTTGGGTACAGTGTGGGTGTGGCTTTGAATTGTTTCACCATATGTTTTATCAGACAGAGTGACTTAAACCCTAGAGAACCCGCCCCCACAATCATGACTCAAATTCTGCCTTGCAAATCTGGCTAGACCAGAGGATGTACACTGATACAGATAGGAACTGAAAATACAGGGAATCCAGGGTGGATGAGCCCTACAGGACCAGTGGTGTGAGTGGCGATACTGGGAGAGTAGAGGGAGAGTGGGTTGGAAAGAGGGAACCTAGTATAAGGAACTATATGTGACTTCCTCCCTGGGGGACGGACAACCGAAAAGTAGGTGAAGGGAGACGTCGGACAGGGCAAGATATGACAAAATAATAATTTATAAATTATCAAGGGCTCATGAAGGAGGGGGCAGCGGGGAGGGAGGGGGAAAATAAGGACCTAATGCCAGGGGCTTAAGTGGAGAGGAAATGTTTTGAGACTGATGAGGGCAATGAATGTACAAATGCGCTTTACACAATTGATGTGTGTATGGATTGTGATAGGAGTTGTATGAGCCCCTAATAAAACAATTTAAAACAAAATAAAACTCCAACTCACACGGGAGTTGCGACTAGCAATCTTTTTGTAAGTACCCAGCCCAACACTTTGCCTGCAGCTCTCCCAGGGCTCCTGCAAGAACGATCCAAAGTGAGATCCAAGCCGACAAGAGCAGCGTGGAGGGATAAGAACCTCGGGGAGAAGTGAGTGTTAATAAAGGAGGAACAATTCAGAAACAGAAGGTGACAGCAATCGTATAACTCAAAAACGTAATCCAGGTCACTAAATGGTCCATGTAGAAACTGTTGGACTGGTATATGTTTTGCCGTGTGTATTCTCAACAATAAAATGAACATAATTTTAAAAAAAAGAATATTTGTGACATGGGAACATTTTATGAAGTTCAGACGTCGTTACAAACTTTAAATAACGTTTTATTGACATATAGTCTCACTCATTTACGTAGGTATTGACTATGCCTGCCTTCATGCTACTAAAGAGGAGTTGAAAAATCATGATTAAGAGGATATTACTCACATAACCTAAAATATTTACCATCACACAGAAAAAGCTTGTCAACCATGGGATAGTTTCTATAAAGAACTGTATAATTCAATGAGGTAAAGACAGATAAACCTATAGAAAATGGGCAAAAGACTTGAATACCTGCCTCACAGAAGAAAATCCCCAAGTGGCTATTTAAACTTTTAAAAAACTGATTGATAGTGGTCTTCAGAAAAATACAATTTAACACAGCAATGAGATACAGCTACACTCTGCCAGAATGGCTAAAATTAAAAAGACTGAAAATCCCAGGTGTTGGTTAGGATGAAGAACCTGGAAAAGCTAATACAATATAGTTACTTTAGAATCCTGTTTGGCAGAACCGACTAAATCCACACACAAATACAGTCCGTGTTGGCAGCTGTTTCAGCCCTAGGAGTGTCTCGCTGGAAGTGCACCAACAGAGGCACCAGAACACGTGCACATTACCTTGTTCTCCGTTTTATTCACTAAGAACTGGAAACACTTCAAATGTCCGTGAACTGTAGAATAGATCACTTTATTGTCTAGTGGCACATAACCAGAAATGAGAATCAACAGCCCACTGCTTCTCAAACAATGTGTATAAATCTCACAAACAGCTTGGAAAGAAAGAAGCCAGGCACAAAATGATACAGACGGTACAATTCCATAATTCTATAAAGGGTGAAGACAGGCAATATTCATGCTGATGTCAGAGGTTGGAGAGAGTCAGAGTTGGGACTGACTGGGCACAGGGGGGCCTCCGTGTATTCGTTCTCTGCTTCTTCACTTGGAGGGCCGTGACGTTAATTGAAGCTGTACTGCTAAGGTGTGTCACATACTGTATTTTCTTTTTGTATTGTTTAAAAATGAGAAGCCACTGTGTACAAAAAACATATTTGGGAAAATTTTGTTTTGAACCTTATCCCATGACTGAAAAAGCTTTTTAAACTTTTCTGGTAGCTAATGGTTGGGTGAGGGGAACAGCCGTTAATGAAAAATAGTTGGATGTGTGTGTGTGCATATATATATATATATATTCATAACTGTCTGGCTCCTGTTAATTTTCACAGAAGTTACAGCTTCAGGAAATGCCATAGTGAGTGTTCATAGAGAAGAGGTTATGAGTTCATTCTTTATCTGTTAAATATCTCGAATGTATTGTTTTGTCATTGACTCCGGGTGATTCTGCGCATGCTGTGACGTGAATTAGGCCATCATGTATTTCCTGTCATCTCCAGTTGTTGATAACACTTAAAATGGGTCATGGGTTCTTTTGTTAAAAAAAAAAAGAGGGATTTTTCTTCCTGCCCTAAAACATGCATAATAGTCCATGACACACATTTCTCCTCTCCTTAAAAACCCGCTGCCATGGAGTCAGAGCTGACACACAACGATCCCCTGGGAGTTCCGAGGGTGTAACTATTGACGGGAGTAGAAAGCCCAGTCTTTCTCCCGAGCGACTGCTGGTGGTTTCCAACTGCCGACCCTGTGGGACATGTAACCACTACAGCCCCAGGTCTCCCCTCCTTCAAAAAGAAGAAATTTTTTCATTGCATTTTTGTTGGACTTTGAATCCTTCTCAGTTGGCCATCCCTGGACTTTGCAAATGCACATAATTAATCTACCTTTGAAGTTTTACAGGGCACAGTCTTTTTCTCTAGCTACCAAGCCAAACTCACGGCCATCGAGGCAATGCCAGCTCAGAGTGACCCTTATGGGACCGTAATGCATTACAGGAGGAGAAAGCCCTGCCTTTCTCCCTCAGAGAGAAGTTGCTTACCTTGTAGTTGGGACGTTATTCTACTCCCCCCTCCCCTTTGTCTGCCCTACACTCTTCCCACCTCCCATTGAGAGATTGATCTTTTTTCTCACAGTTGTCTTCTTCCAAATTTCACTAACCCTTCTTTGCTTCAGGATCGTTCATACTCGCCTTCCACTTTCCTTTAGTGGACTTCTCTGTTCTCTTGACTTCAGGGTAAAATGCTGACTCCTTATGGCATCTGTACAGAGCACACCCAGACCTGTCACGAGAAGCACCGTGGAGAAGGATGGGAGCAGGCTGGCCCCAGTGTGCAGGGTTTCATTCTCTGCTTTGCCACTTAGTTTGCGTGAACTTTACCAAATTACTGCACACACTGTGCCTTTGGTTTTTTGTTTTAAGTTCGTTTAATGGTTGTTATAAAGATTAGTTAAATAAGCCCCTTCCTGGCCCTCTTGCATATAACCTGGGACAGAGATGGAATCATCCTTACCAAACAGCATTTAGCTGAACAGATAGTTGTTCGACAGCTCTGTCCACCTGCATCATCTCCCCTCCAGCTAAGATCCCCTTAGTCCTTTTAACCTCCCTCTCACATTACGTGTGATTCTTCTCTTCAAACATTACCCTTTTTACCTGCATTTCTCCCTGGTTTGGTTGTGTGCCTCTTCTACACCACTAATAAGCGAGGGACAGTCATAATCATTTTCTATCATAGTAGATTATCCATAAAGGATTACTGAATGAAACTTTTTATTGACCATGATAAATGTGAGTGGATGTCTGTGGTTACTTTATTATTCATGTCTTTCTTTACACCTTGGTTTTTATGGTTTTTTTTAATAGACTTCTAATATAAAAGAAACAGATTTTGTTTTAATCTCCCCTAAAAACTATTTTGGAGGAAGGGAAACCATTATCCTAACTTACACAATTAAGGTCCCTTTGCTGCCATCATATGCATGTATGTTTTTTAAATAGTGCTTGATCATCTGTGAATTCCCATTCTTGATCTTTTGGTAGCTTGCATACACAAAGGAAAACTTAAAATGCACACATATACACACACCAAAAACAAAACAAAACACAATGAACTGTTAAAAATGAATGCACTGCTAAATGGCTGTAGTATTTAGCCACCACAGTTCAGTCCTGTGTGCATGAATACTGTCATCTTTAATCCCAAGCCCGTGAGATGTTCTACTGCTTTGATAAGATGCCTTATATATACTTATCTGGAAGGGGTCATATCTCTTCCAAAAGCCAAGTAAAGAACACACTGGACTCCAAGTCCATGGTTCCCAGGGCTCCTCAAGGCCATTGAATTTCAAAAGGAACAACCAGCTGCTTAAAGACAACCTATGGAGCTTTTGCTTGTATTGTTCTTACCTAGAGTAGGTTTTATTATTACTACTTAGAGTAGGTAGTAAGAATACTATTGCACACAGGGTTGCTATGGGGGGGAACCTAACTCTAGGACACCCAACAATAGGATATTTCTCCTCTGAATAGAACATTGCTCTTCAGAATGGAATAGAATATTTCTCCCCTGAAACCCTGACGCTTGCCTACACTCATCTTTTTATA